TTGAGGGTGGATAACTTGGTGAGTCTTTGATATTCCGTAGGCCTAGTCACGGTTTATGCTTAGATACTCACCAATCTTACCCCTAGCTTCCCACGAATCAATCGTTCATTCATGCTCTATTGGAGGAGGGTTTCGAGTTGAGACGGTATTCCTATTGGAGTGACCTCTTGGATTTGCCAACATTTGTTTCTCATTTTACTAGCATCAAAACAACTTCACCAAACAACTTCCAACAATCAAAGATTTTACACTTTCTTTCTCCCAAAATCACCTCCCCTCGGTTTACTTCCTTCCCCGTGGAAACGACCTTGAAATACCACCAAGTAAAACACGATCCGCGAAAGTCTCCTTGCGCCTGGGGAGCACTTTTGTTCACACATACTCACATTTAAAATCTCATTCATCCACTATTCCGTTACCCTTTCTTTTGACATCATCCCTAGGAGAGTGACACTCCCCTTTATTCATATACTATACATGCTAAAATGTGATGTTTATAGGTTATGAAACAACAAGGAAATTTGTCAAGCATACCGCCCATTATCTCTCACCCCCATTATAAATCGGTGTTTAAATTCTTTTATCTCTTATATATGTTTGCGATTTAATTTTGAATATAAATACAAATATATTTATTGTTTACCATTTTTTATTACTATATGTCTTTAAGTACAGACAATAACTAGTTCTTCTAAAAAAAAACAACATTCCTTGAACATTAACTCAAATTTTTCCACAGTAACTTTTCGGCACAGTATTTTAAATTGACAATCCTATCAGTCCAAAGTTACAACTCATACGGAATAAATACTCGACGGACTAGATTTTAAGATTAATAAAAACAATATTTAGACTTTTTTGAATTTTGGTTTCATTGATTTGTAACTTGAGCTCGATGTGTCGTAACTTTTTCAATACTATAATGTTGTAAACGTTCTAGATGTTCTTTAATTTTTCCAACTCTTTTAAGTAGGTCATTCACACTAGGACTAGAGAATTCATGAGGGTTAAATTCCTCATACCTTGACCTTAAAAAATTACTAAAATTCGAATTTAGAACGTCTAAATTTATAATTCATTTGTATTACTATTTAAAGTACCTCGGAGTTAAGCCCATCACAACATCTGTTAACAAAAAACAAAACACAATTCACACTACTATACTTACATAAGCTTATAAATAGAAATGTTCCTAATGCCAACTTCATCAAAATATAATTGCCTCTGGCTTAGAGGCCTCTTATTCTTATATTTACTTGTTGAGTGAGAGAGAGAGAGCAGTGAGTTGATGAAAAAGATGGGTTTTTTGAACTGCTATGTGCTTTTTCTCACTGTACTTGTGGTCTTTAATATCTCCCTGCTATGTGGTGCTGATCCCACAGATGGATTCACTGAAGTGCCATTAACAGCAGCTAATTTTGAAATCCAGAGGCCTTATAATGTACCTCTTGAAGAGCGCTACAGTTTTGAAAATGGCGTTCGCCGGTTGTGGGTTTTTGCCGATGATAAGCCACACAACCCCAGCAGCCATACACAGCCCCGCACTGAAGTTCGCTTTCATGTACTACTTTCTCTCTCCTCTATACATTTTAAGTTACATTCTCCATACATGTCTATATTTCATTTTGCTTACAGTTCAAAACGTCACAAAATTAATAGGTTAGAATTGTTTATCTTTTCATATGAACTCGTAGATGACATGATCCACTGATATGAATAATATACAAATTAGGTAAGAGTTAATCGCAAAATAATCCAATTTACACAAAAAATAAGTCTAGCTTTTGAGTTTTTGGTTCTTTCCCTTTGTTGATACGGTGTTAAATAAATCATTGTAGAATTAGAGAGTTTTTAACTTCGTTTTAAAAGCTTTTGGACCATGTGAATTTTGGTTATGTTGAAAAGCTACAAGTGTGTTTGGTTGCAAGAGAATGAAATTTTAATTGACCTTTCGTGGTTTACATGTTACAAGTTTCGCCCCCAAAAACAAAAATATTATTTGTGAGTCGATAAAAATCTGACTATTATGATTGACTCATAACCTAAACACAAACACGACATATCTTGACTCTTGATTATCACACTCATATATGCATTTCTCTATATTTGTGCATACATACATGGGTACATGTTCAATGCTCTTTATCTCGATGCAGGGGCTTGACTATTCTTCAGGAGTATGGCAATTCGAAGGCTATGGTTTTGTGCCAAACGGCACCACTGGTCCTTCCATAGTGCAAATCCATGGTGCAGCACATGACCCATCAACAATCATACTAAGGATATATGATGGAGACATGAGATACTACAGTGGTGATCTGATTGCCACTAATATGTATGATAAATGGTTTAGGGTTAACTTAATCCATGATGTGGATGGAGGAAAGGTGACAGTTTTTCTTGATGGAGTACAAAAATTTGAGACAAACGATCGAGGGCTTGCTCAATTTTATTTCAAATGTGGAGTTTATGCAGCGCTCAGTGATATAAGCTACTATATGGAATCAAGGTGGAGAGACATCAAAATTTACAAGAAGTGATGTTGAAGAAGAAGAAGAAACCGCGAGTTTGTTTCAGTTGATTCCAGTAAATGTGAGGTCTCTTAAGGTGTACTGGTGTACTTATGTATAATGATTGCAATTATATGTGTTCTGCAAGTGAAGAAAATATGAAAATTTACGTACGACTTTGATTATATGCAATGTTTAATTGTATGAGTCTGGAATGGCAAAAACTTCGTATAAAGCTTGTACATGGATGTTTGTTGCATCTTTTTCCTTCTTTTTTTTTTTGTGGGTAAGGGTAACTAGGAGGTTCCCAACTTTTCAAAGCACCTAGGTAATCCTCTTGGACATACGTGGCCAAAACTTCATATGCATCTTCAAATTGCATCGTATGTGAATTTGAGATGAAAGGGTAAAAATCAAACTAATAAATTTTACATATTTTTCCACATATTTACTTTTATTTTTGAAGCATTATAACTTTGGATACGTACTCAAGAATATTCATATATTTTATTTGTTATTAAACACTTTTCGTACGTATCTAAAATATAACCTCGAAGATTCAATAAATATCATATCGATATAGATAAAAAAAAAACCTTAAGAATTCGTACTTTGTAGGTTTTGGGCTCAAAAGGTTGAACGGAGACTCGTTGAGGTTTTGTTATTTAGACTTCTATCATTAGATTGGGTCACAGCATCTATCAACATTGGATTCCTCAACTTAATCGAATGCAAAATGACAAAATCCTTAAGTTAACCTTCTAGGATCCATTACATTAGATTACTTAGTATTTTACGCGATAAACTTGCCTGAAATATTCTACCTTAATTAGTTTAGTACTGATTGATTTCATTCAATTGACCTCCTTGATATAATAAAACTCAATTATAATACCTTTCTTTTTGATCTATTTTAATCTAATAGTACAAAATCCATCCAAAAAAAATTTCCCACTCGAAGACATCATTTTCATTGCATGACTCCAATGGCAAACAACTCTACCAATTCACATATATATCTCTCTTCTATCTCTCCTAACTCTTTTGTATTTTATTTTTATTCATTTAACTTTAAATTGCATGATTAAAGAGAAAAAAAAATTGTATGTCTTGTAAGATCAATATTCAATTTTTGATAATATAAAATATTTTTAGACACGGGGTTATTGCTAGTCTTTTAATATACTTTCCCTCAATTTCAAACAATGACAAACTACCCACTATATATGAGTGAAGACCCACTTACAAAAAAAGATCCTACACATCCAAGGCATTAACCATGATGGAGAAGTGTCCAAGGCTTATGTGCAATAGTATAAGTATGAAAGTGAGTACTAGGTAATGGAATGGACATGCAGACTATAGTGATTCATAGACTGAAAATTTTGGCTAGTTTACTCTAATGGAGTCCATTACTTCTTAGGGGATTGTATATTACTTAGAGAAGAAGATAGGTTACAAAATATTTGATGCCTTTACATGGAGAAGGCATTGGTGTTTTATACTCACAGATGGAGTGGTCCATATGTCATCATCGCATGCTCCCCAAATTTGTTAGGATTTCGTTTGAAGAAATATTGGACCGTTAGAGACTATATTCCTTAAATGTGATGTGGCATGGCCTTCTAGAAACAAGGTAACGTTGTTCAAGAGGGCTCCTAACATTACTGGATGAGTTGTTGGGACGGTGTTTGGTCGTCTGTACAACTTTCTCTACTAGAGGGGCTTATTTAGAGGCTAGGAGATCAACTCGAATGTTGTTTATGCCCAAGCTACATTAGATGGTGCTGACCTTCCTACATGTTGGGGATAAGATCTCGCTTCTTGCTAGTCATACCATCCTCAATCTTTGAAGTCATGCTATTCGAGATTGAGCTGTAATAAGCAAGGATTGATTAACTAAGTATAGTATCATCAATTGCCCCTAGCCCAAGCTCGAACAGTATTGCCTCTGGCCTTAAGTTGGGGGTAAACCATATTTGAGGTGAAGCCTGCACCTTTGGGGATGTGGTATTCATTAGAGATTAGGTGGGACATGGAGTGATTAGATGGTTGAGGAGGTGCGGCTCAAGCAAAAAGGGTAGTGTATCTACAGCCTTAATTGTTGGGATATTTTTCATCATGTGCATACACATGGGTTTCATCAACAGTGCACCTTAGATGTCTTTTGAGTGCATTCCTGGCGCATGATGGAATTGAACAGTCAAAACTCTGAAGGTATTTGAACTTATTGTCTTTTCAAAGAGGTATTCAGTATTTTTGTCAAACAGGAAGAGAAGTCTTAGGAGCCTTCGGTGTTGTGTCACGTGTCCTCTATTGTCTTCCTATCCAATCTACCTGCTTTTTAGGTACTTTTCTTCTTCCCCATTCCATCGTGGACCGAATTGATCTTTGATTGTAGTCTAATGGGTTTCAANTGCAGACTATAGTGATTCATAGACTGAAAATTTTGGCTAGTTTACTCTAATGGAGTCCATTACTTCTTAGGGGATTGTATATTACTTAGAGAAGAAGATAGGTTACAAAATATTTGATGCCTTTACATGGAGAAGGCATTGGTGTTTTATACTCACAGATGGAGTGGTCCATATGTCATCATCGCATGCTCCCCAAATTTGTTAGGATTTCGTTTGAAGAAATATTGGACCGTTAGAGACTATATTCCTTAAATGTGATGTGGCATGGCCTTCTAGAAACAAGGTAACGTTGTTCAAGAGGGCTCCTAACATTACTGGATGAGTTGTTGGGACGGTGTTTGGTCGTCTGTACAACTTTCTCTACTAGAGGGGCTTATTTAGAGGCTAGGAGATCAACTCGAATGTTGTTTATGCCCAAGCTACATTAGATGGTGCTGACCTTCCTACATGTTGGGGATAAGATCTCGCTTCTTGCTAGTCATACCATCCTCAATCTTTGAAGTCATGCTATTCGAGATTGAGCTGTAATAAGCAAGGATTGATTAACTAAGTATAGTATCATCAATTGCCCCTAGCCCAAGCTCGAACAGTATTGCCTCTGGCCTTAAGTTGGGGGTAAACCATATTTGAGGTGAAGCCTGCACCTTTGGGGATGTGGTATTCATTAGAGATTAGGTGGGACATGGAGTGATTAGATGGTTGAGGAGGTGCGGCTCAAGCAAAAAGGGTAGTGTATCTACAGCCTTAATTGTTGGGATATTTTTCATCATGTGCATACACATGGGTTTCATCAACAGTGCACCTTAGATGTCTTTTGAGTGCATTCCTGGCGCATGATGGAATTGAACAGTCAAAACTCTGAAGGTATTTGAACTTATTGTCTTTTCAAAGAGGTATTCAGTATTTTTGTCAAACAGGAAGAGAAGTCTTAGGAGCCTTCGGTGTTGTGTCACGTGTCCTCTATTGTCTTCCTATCCAATCTACCTGCTTTTTAGGTACTTTTCTTCTTCCCCATTCCATCGTGGACCGAATTGATCTTTGATTGTAGTCTAATGGGTTTCAATTTGTGGTTCTTAGGTTTTGGTATTTTAGGAGTTCTTTAGGGTCTTCCGCACCATAATCTTTCTTCGTTGACCTCCCACTACTGTTCAGGCTGTCTTTGGTGAGGTTCTGGAGTCTTGATCTTAAAGTAATTACAGATTGTTGCTCTCACCTACCCAAATTGTACAGTATCTTAACGTGTGGGGTTCCCATTGTGAGGGTTGTATCTGTTACCTCCTTCAAATCTCCAAACACCACATGATAGTTTTGAGGATGAGGGATCTCATTCTTCTCATGAGGATCCTTATGTCGAGGATGACCAAGAAGAGGAACTTTCTCTGGTGTTGGCCAAAACTAGGGATAGCCTTTTGTCATGGGCTTTAGAGGTCTCCACCCGTGCTCTAGATCTTGAAGTCTCAACCTCATGTCGTCGAGATGATAATCTTCAAATCAAGACTTCTAGTAAGTCAAGGGAGAGGAAAAAAGGGAAGAAAAGAAGTGCATCTTTCTCGATGACTCCGAAAAAGAAAAAGGTAGTGTGAGACTTATCTAACCTGACTTGTAGTGCAACCTCAACCTAAAGTCATATGACCAACAGTTGGGCCCAGGATCTTATGGAACGGTATGGCTTCCCCTAGGAATTAATACTTCATGTCCATGAGGCTGAGGAGAAGTGCAATGTTAATGTCCCCAAGAAGACCTATTTCTTTGTGTTTGTCTTTGAGGTTAGGCTTAGGTTCCCAATGCATCCTTTCATTCATGAAGTCCTTTGTCATTACAACGTTTGTCCATCTAGGTTGTCCCGCAATAAATGGGGTCTCTTAGTGGATATAATGGTCTACTAGTGAGAGAGTGGTATCAAAACCCCTTCCACTTTGCTTGAGTTTGCCTACTATTACCACCTCAAGTCTTCCGTAGCTCTGGGCATCCTCTATTTTTCAAAAAATGTGAAGGTCGAGGCGTTGAATTCTGACCTCTCTACCTCGCATAAGGGCTAGAAAGATAGTTTCTTCTTCCTTTTTAGGGATGTCTGAGAGCCAATAGGGGAAGCCGATGACACCTCCCGAGTTCCTCATCTTTGGGATGTTCCTCATAACATTCATAAGTCTTACTTAGGTGGGATGCTAGTTGCCATTTTTCTTGATGCTTTTCTTTTCTACTTTTTGAATCTTTACCCTGACCTAAACTACTGTCGCAGGGTATTGACCTTCTCTTACTATTGAGGAAATAAGTCAGACTTCCAATGCTAATTTGAGATTCTTTAAGGAGCTCGTGACCGCCAAAAACTTAACCAAATACGGGGTTGGTCCCCCTATTAGGGAGTTTCCTTCTAGTATGTCCCTAAATGCGAATTAGTATTTTAGAATCCTCACATTGCTTCTCTATCCTCACCTTTTACTCTTCTTGCTATGTTCAAGTTCTGTTGAGATGGCCCCAAACCATGATTTGATTAAGAAGACCATTGAGGAGAGGAAATAGAAGAGGCTGTTCAGGAAGGCTAAACTTCCCCCTCCCAAAAGGTTAGGAACAAATCTTCTTCCACCTTCTAAGGGTTGCTTGGGTTTGCCTTCAGAGAACTTGGAAACTTCTAGTCAGGGCTTGCAGCTTGGACTTCCCTCGATGGAGAAGAGCTTTTCGGGAAGACTATAGACATCTTGGCTGGACTTACTCTTCCTTCCTCTAGTGATCACGTGCATATTCCTCCTTCCTCCGTCATTCCTGAGTCTTCCTCCTCAATGGTTGTTGAGAAAGAGGGGAGCGGATGAGAATGATGACCCTCGAAGCCTCTTCCAAGAAGAAGAAACATCCCCTTCTCTGCCTCCTCTCCAATTGCCTGGGACTTCTACAGCAACCTCTACAATAGGACCAACGATAACCTCTATAGTAGAGACTGGGCCTAGCCCAAACTTGAAAAGGTTATGGGTTGTCACCAAGTCTCTCAAAGACATTGGCTTATATAAAGGTGGGCTATAGACCCTAAAGAGCTCAGCCGAAGATTTCTCGAGGACCTCCTCTGCAACATTTGAAAAAAAATAATGGAAGTTAGCGCAGCCATAAACAAAGATTGGACTATTAGAAGTAGAAAGGTCTGTAAACATTCACTCATGTTTGAAGGACGCCCCCAAAAATGGGGAACCCAGAGAATGTCAATAGTCATCCCTCGAATTCCAAGGCATCCCCAAAAATAAAGAAAAAGCGGCGTTGCCACCTTTCCGAGGCAACAGGAATGTCCAAAACTAGCTTAAGGACCCGAACTTTCTAGATGAAACGGTAGAAAAAAGGAGGGAAGTAGGGAACTAAACGAAAGAAATGAAGAAACTCAAGAATAGAAGGAAAATTCTCATGGCCTTGAAGGCGCTAGTAAATAAAGAATCCCACCAAAAGGCTCCACCCCTCTGACGAAAGTTTGGAAGGACATAGGTTAAAATAGTTAAAAATTTGTCTCAAATAAACATGTTTAGGGAACCAGAGTCTGGCGTCAAAGGCAGGCTCAAAGAAACAAACTCTCCTCATAAGAAGAGACTGCAGGGTTCATTAGTAGTGGGGCCTTGGATAAAGACACTAGCAAGGAACTCGTAACATCTCTTGATGGTCTTCGTTTCACCCTTGGAGATGCTACTGGAAACCATTAAGGCACCCCAATTCAAGTCTTCCAAGATAAGTGACGCACATCGTCTAAACTCTTTGTTAGAAAGTAAAAAGAAGTTTACTTTTGAAAATTTTGTTTAGAAGATTGCAAGATGAGAATAAACATGGAGGGACACTTGCACTTTTATAACCAAAAATGCCAACGGCTCACGTCCCATGATGAACCAGTCATGATATGGTGTAATAAATGGGAAACAATCATGGTGAACCAGGCATTTAGGGGATGTATCAAGGTGCCTTTTTCACTTCATAATGGCTTGACGGCGCAAATAGATACTAACCGTCTTAATCATGTCTTTTCGATAACCGTAACAAAGCAGTTCCACAACATTGATGCTTCGCACAAGTGATCAACAATGAGGACGAGCTCCTCAACTCATGCTAACAAGGAGTTCCTCAGCTCATGATTAAGGCAAGTTTTTACCTTATAGAGCATCTTAGCTCGCGATGAGATTTTTAGATCATACCTCATACATGTTTTTCAGCTTATAAGAGCTTTTCAGCTAGTTCCAAGGATGAGTTCTTCAACTCCTACCTCAAATATGTTTTCAGCTTATAAGAACTTTTCAAGGATGAGTTTTTGAGCTCATACCTTAGATAAGCTTTTCACCTCACAAGAACTTTTCAAGGATGAGTTCTTTAGCTCACACCTCAGATGAGTTTTTCAATTATAAGATATTTTCAGCTTGTCCAAGAACGAGCTCTTCAGATCATACCTCAGATAAGTTTTCCAGCTTATAAGATTTTTTCAGGTCTTACATGATTGAGTTTTAAATCACTAAAGTCCAAGGACAGGGTAGACATACGACACAAACATTAATATCGAGCACAACAAAAAGAAAAGGAATTTTGTTTCTTGACCTTCCTCACATAGGCCTTTTTGGTCGAGCTTGATTCTCCACCAACTGTGAAGCCTCTAGAGATCACCCTGATTTCTCCTAGATCTTGTTGGTGTTGTTGCTGCCCTTGCTGGGGTTACTACCAATGTCATTCAGCTCGTTCCTCGCCCTCCTAAGTTACAATACGCCTAAGCTGCCCCCTTTGAATCCAAAACTCAATCTCCTTCTTGGGTTAGAAGTAATTGTTTGTGTCATGCCCATGATCTTGGTGGAAGTTAAATACTTGGTGCGGACTCTCTTTCGAGGTTCTGTCTTCATTTAGCAGGCCATTTGACGTATCTCTCATTTTGAGCTTAATGTAACACCTGAACCACCATGGTGTTGAGTGGTGTAAACTACTCAAGTACGTATTGAGGTTGCAAATTCGGTTAAGGGGGTCCCAAACGATCTCTGACATCACCCATTTTCTTGGGTGATATATCTCTCCTTCTTCGGGGAGAACGATCTCCCTTCCGGATTTGTTCTCAATTTTTCTTTAGACTGGATTCCTTCGTTTTCTTGTCTGCTCGTTGTTCGGGAGTGCTTGATGAACCACCCTTTGACAAGAAGGCCTCCTTTTCATTAATATATTTTTCTACTTTTGCCAACACTTCAACCATAATGGCCTGTGAATTCTTAGAGATAGAGAATAGGAGGTCTTTAAATTACAAGTCTAGTCCGATCGTGAAGGCCATCAAGGTAACCTTTTTGTCCAACCCGTCCACCTTAAGTGATTCTTGATTGAACCTCTTGATGTAGCTTCTGAGTGATTGTATTGGTTCTTGCTTCACCATCAACAAGTGATATGATGGTTTTCAGATAGGTTTTTGCCCTAATAAAGTGAGAGATGGGTGGACAACTCTTTAAACAAAAAGATCATGTTAAACCAACAAGAGTAGAGCCTTTCAAACTGATGGCAACGACTCGATATCGAATAAAGTCCTAATACCTATGTAACTCCATTTGGCTCTTGTATGAGTTCAGATGATCTACGAGATCTTTGGTCCTGCTAAATGCCTCAACTTGGGGCATCTTGAACTTTGTTGGAAGGGGGAAATGCAATACCTCTGTCATGAAGGGCGACTCAGTTTGTTGAATTAAGGCTTTCATGGTGACCAAAGTCGTAATTTTAAAGACCTTCTTTACGTTACCCAATTCATATTGGATTTCCCTAAAGCGCTTTTCCCAAAACCGATCTAGGTTGTTTTGTGGAAGAGGAAGTTAGCAATTTCCTCTTCTTTTCCATGCAATTCTGTTGTGTGCATCATCTTTAGTCTCACCCATTTGGTGTTGACGACGGAGGTTTTCTCCTGATTGGCTATGGCATTCCTCTGTCACACTATTCATAGGATTCTGAGATGGATCTAGGGGATTCTAAGATGGATCTAGGGGATTCAAAGGATTTGGGGGTTCAAAGTATTTTGGGGGATATGGATTATGTTGGATTGGTTAGGATGGGAGACTAGCTTCTTGTTCTACTTGAGAAGGCAAAGAAGAGTTTCCTGGTTCATTTGTAGGCACTGGGTTTTCTGCGAAAGGATTCAATGGAAGTTGGAGTAGGAGGAGGAAGTCTTTGATGATTCTTCGAAATTTGGCTCATGCTTCAGGTTTTGACCATCAACTAAAATAGAGGCAAGGTTTTTAGTGAAAACGATGGAAACCATACCCATAGACAACGCCAACTGATGATGTATGAATTCAAAAGAGTTGAAAAGCTCAAGGCTTATGTGCAATAGTATAAGTATGAAAGTGAGTACTAGGTAATGGAATGGACACGTAAACTGTAGTGGTTCACCAGCTAAAAAACTTGGTTAATCCACTCTAATGAAGTCTCTTGTTTTTTGGGGGACTGTATATTATTTGGGAAAGAAGATAGTTACAAAGTATTCGATGCATTTACATAGAGAAGACCTTGGTGTTTTATACTCATAGGTGGGGTGGTACCTATGTCATCATCACATGATCCCCTAGTTTGTTAGGATTTCGTTGAGGGAATATTGGGTCGTTAGAGGCTATATTCCCTAGGTATGACATGGCATGGCCTTCTAAAAACAAAGTGACGTTACTCAAGAAGGTTGAGCTCCTGAAATCACTGGATGAGTTGTTGGGATGGTGCTTGGTCGTTTGTACAACTTTCTCTATTGGTGGAGCTTGTTTAGAGGCTAGGAGATCAGCTCAGATGTTGTTTATGCCTAGACTGTAGCAGATGGCATCGACCTTCCTACATGATGGGGATAAGATCTCGTTTCTTGCTGGTCATCCTATCCTCAATCTTTGAAGTCGTGTTGTTTGAGATTGAGCTGTAATTAGCAAGGATCGATTAACTATGTTTGGTATCATCAGTTGTCCTCCAACCTAAGCTCGAACAATTCCGTTTCTGGCCTTAAGTTGGGGGTAAACCATAATTGAGGCGAAACCTGCACCTTCGGGGATGCAGTATTCATTAGAGCTTAGGTGAAACATGATATGATTAGATGATTGAGGAGGTGCGGATCAAGCAAATAGGGCAGTGTACCTACCACCTTAATTGCCGGGATATTTCAATCCAATGCGTACACGTGGTTTAATCTTCAGAATTACACTATATCTTTTCTTCTCTTTTATTTTTTTCTTTATGTGCTTTTCTGTGTGTATTTTCTTTCAAAACACTGAAGAGAAAACAAACTTGTGATACCAACCCTTCGTGGCCCCAATGGCATCTTCTATGATTGGATGGATAACACACTGACCACCCTGCCAGAAGACATTAGCTTATTATTCATCAAAAAAATTTGAAAAATAGGTCACATTTTTGTATTCTGAAACTGGGACCCACCTTCCTACCTTGAAACAGTGTTTTATTCTGATCAGCCAAGAGAAAAACTCTTAAACAAACATGAATTCTTGTCAAGTGGAGCAATATAATTTGGGGGTAATTTGACCTCATCTTAACCTTTTTTTGTTGGTTCTCTTTGGTCTTCATTTAACCCTATTAGTTTGGTCAAATAATACAAACAATAGACGAAAATTAACTTATAGTTTAGAGCCTCANCGTAAACTGTAGTGGTTCACCAGCTAAAAAACTTGGTTAATCCACTCTAATGAAGTCTCTTGTTTTTTGGGGGACTGTATATTATTTGGGAAAGAAGATAGTTACAAAGTATTCGATGCATTTACATAGAGAAGACCTTGGTGTTTTATACTCATAGGTGGGGTGGTACCTATGTCATCATCACATGATCCCCTAGTTTGTTAGGATTTCGTTGAGGGAATATTGGGTCGTTAGAGGCTATATTCCCTAGGTATGACATGGCATGGCCTTCTAAAAACAAAGTGACGTTACTCAAGAAGGTTGAGCTCCTGAAATCACTGGATGAGTTGTTGGGATGGTGCTTGGTCGTTTGTACAACTTTCTCTATTGGTGGAGCTTGTTTAGAGGCTAGGAGATCAGCTCAGATGTTGTTTATGCCTAGACTGTAGCAGATGGCATCGACCTTCCTACATGATGGGGATAAGATCTCGTTTCTTGCTGGTCATCCTATCCTCAATCTTTGAAGTCGTGTTGTTTGAGATTGAGCTGTAATTAGCAAGGATCGATTAACTATGTTTGGTATCATCAGTTGTCCTCCAACCTAAGCTCGAACAATTCCGTTTCTGGCCTTAAGTTGGGGGTAAACCATAATTGAGGCGAAACCTGCACCTTCGGGGATGCAGTATTCATTAGAGCTTAGGTGAAACATGATATGATTAGATGATTGAGGAGGTGCGGATCAAGCAAATAGGGCAGTGTACCTACCACCTTAATTGCCGGGATATTTCAATCCAATGCGTACACGTGGTTTAATCTTCAGAATTACACTATATCTTTTCTTCTCTTTTATTTTTTTCTTTATGTGCTTTTCTGTGTGTATTTTCTTTCAAAACACTGAAGAGAAAACAAACTTGTGATACCAACCCTTCGTGGCCCCAATGGCATCTTCTATGATTGGATGGATAACACACTGACCACCCTGCCAGAAGACATTAGCTTATTATTCATCAAAAAAATTTGAAAAATAGGTCACATTTTTGTATTCTGAAACTGGGACCCACCTTCCTACCTTGAAACAGTGTTTTATTCTGATCAGCCAAGAGAAAAACTCTTAAACAAACATGAATTCTTGTCAAGTGGAGCAATATAATTTGGGGGTAATTTGACCTCATCTTAACCTTTTTTTGTTGGTTCTCTTTGGTCTTCATTTAACCCTATTAGTTTGGTCAAATAATACAAACAATAGACGAAAATTAACTTATAGTTTAGAGCCTCAAAAACACATGAATAAGATCCCGGGTTTCACCAATGCATGTGATTGGCAAATGACGAGATTTGTGTTATAATAATGAGTTTAAAGAATGAGTGATTGGAACCATTCTCTAGTATAGCAAAAAAAAAAAAAAAGTTACTTTTTTGTAGCTATAATTGATAACTTAAGGACGTGTTCGGTTCGGGATTAGTGCAAAGATTCTTCAATAGTAGGTTTGTGTTAAGTGTATTCAGAGAGAGTAGGAAGAGTCTGCAGTAAAACATGGGATTCAGTTAGTGCAGAATCCATTTTGAATTGTTCAAACATAAAAATTATACGTTAGGCTAAATTGAATCCTTCTGTTACTCCTTTTCTTGCTCAGTTAGTTTAATTGTATAGCTATAAATACAAAGCAATACACAAGGTTTTGGTAAATAAGTCAAACCATTCAAACAAGATCTCTGTTTTTTATTTGTTACCATAGTTTGACATGGTATCAGCCAAAAGATTGGCACACGCCTGATCCAACATACCACAGCTTCTGCAATATTTTCGAATGGCAACACCAGAGACACCCTCCTCCACTTCAAATGACACCCCTTACCTTCCCAATCTTGCACTATTAACCAACAATCACTCATCATAATGAACATTCTACTTAAAAACTAAATAAAAAACAATTTGTCAAGCGGTTACTTTTTTTCATATCTATATCCCCTGCTTAAAAACGAAGATTAAGACAGGAGTTTCTTGAAAAAAAAAAAAACCCTTTATTTGCCCTCTCCTCTCCAAAGGCCAAGGGAGAGACTGCATCCCTTCCCTTCGATAGCTCTTTTACTTTCCCAAAGATAACGGTAGTTGGGACAAAGCCGGCTTTCTTCACTCCGCGAATGAGAGAGAAANGCATCCCTTTCCTTCGATAGCTCTTTTACTTTCCCAAAGATAACGGTAGTTGGGACAAAGCCGGCTTTCTTCACTCCGCGAATGAGAGAGAAAGTCAGAAAAAACAAGTTCTGGCTAAGGGGAATCTCTTGGGTACATTAAGACAGAATTCAACATCAAGCAATAAAGGTGGCTCTATTGCTCTCCCTCCAACAATGGGCGACTCTAANAGGAAAAACATGTTCTGGCTAAGGGGAATCTCTTGGGTACATTAAGACAGAATTGAACATCAAGCAATAAAGGTGGCTCTATTGCTCTCCCTCCAACAATGGGCGACTCTAAAAGACTGTAAGGTTAAGGTCCAATCTTATTGATTTTGTTATTATTGGCACAATGTAATAGTATCATTTAACACCGTATACTAGGTATAAACTTGTATCGTATGATAGGTGGTATTGCCTAAGACCTGATTGGCATTAATACACAAATGACTCGAGTATCCCTAATAGGTGGTAGAGTCATGGATTGATTGACATTATGTGCTTTAATCTCTTTAAATTTAACACCAGACATTAATCTCCCATCCAAACTCGGAATTGATACTTAGACAACGGATTCACAATTCATTCAAACCTTAATCCAAACCCAGTATAAAAATGGATTGAAAATCAATTTCTAATCGCCTCGTATTATATCCGAATCAAACATGACATAAACATATATAAATTACCTCAATTTGACCGGAAATGCTGGATAGAAAAATCATTATTGTATTAAGTTATTGTTTTCTTGCACATCTAAAGAGACTAGAGGAATGCAACTATTCTGTATTCTGCTAGTGCAAGGTGACCTCTATTAAAGGGCTTTCCAAGTCCTAAGATAGAGGAGGAAGCATCACAACTAAAAACCCAGAAACTCAATAACTTCTGGGTTAGCATATATCACATGAGCATGGCTCTCTCTCTCCTAGAGTCTTTCATTCCTGCTGCTTTTGAGCTTTTCCACGAATCTTTATCTATTCCGTGCTGCTGCGGATCCCACAGATGGATTCACCAAGGTGCCGTTAACAGACCGGAATTTCGGTTTACAAAAACCGTATAATGAGCCCCTAGACGATCGATACAGTTATGAAGATGGAAACTGAAGATTATGGATGTATACAAATGACAAGCCTTTCAAGACTGGCAGTGGCACAAGGCCACGCACAGAAGTTCGCATCCAAGTACTCTCTCTCTCTCTCTCTCTCACATGCATACTTTGATATAAATATTGTAGCAACAGTTAAAGACACTGATCTATATGCTAGGCTTGACTTAATTTTAACTTGTTTAGATTCGTTTAAATAGCAAAATGCATCAAAAGATTGATCTTGGTTTCGACAAGTTGGAGTTGAATGCTTATATACTTCCCATGAGATAAACTTAAGCAAAAGTTTAAACTCAGTAATTGAGTTCAATTTGAGATTGAACTCAACCTTCAATCACATCTACATCAAGTATAAGCATACCCAAACTCCACAAACTCACTTAATTACCCCTACTTGGTAGTGGTTCATTGTACTGAAAAAAAAACATCGGAATGATTATCAACAGTAAATCTCATTCACTTGGGGCTAGAAANCACAAACTCACTTAATTACCCCTACTTGGTAGTGGTTCATTGTACTGAAAAAAAAAACATCGGAATGATTATCAACAGTAAATCTCATTCACTTGGGGCTAGAAAGGGAGCTACGACTCTGCAACTAAGAATCTACAATGGCGATATGAGGTACTACGGGTTTGAACTGGTGGATTCCAATCTGTATGACCGTTGGTTCAGATTAAATGTAATCCACAATGTGGATGAAGGAAACCTTACAGTGTTCATCGATGGCATCCAAAAGTTTGTGAATAATGATCAGGGGTCTGGTGACTTGTACTTCAAATGTGGAGTCTATGCTGCACCAGATAATTCAAGCAATTATATGGAATCAAGGTGGAAAAATATCAAATCTACAAAAAGTAATGATGAAAAATATAAATTCAAATGAAATTTGTAATACATTTATTCACAACCTTTGCAGTCTTCCTCCTGAAAATCAATGCATCAATATGAAATAAATACATGATGTAGCAGATGAACTCCAAAAAAAAAATAAAGAAGAATAGTAAGATTGGGATTTTGTGATTACAGAGAGACACCTGCAAGATTGCCATGGTTTCATTTTTTGAAGCAGGCCAGATTTCCAATAGGTGCAACTCGACTCAGGTAATGTCGAAAATGTTGCCAACATACTAGTCCGAGCTCCCTGCATGAATCCGCTTCTGCTCTTTTGCTATGCTTTGATAGGTGCTAACAAGTGCAACTCATATGAATTTAAAATTCTTAAAACTTGAATCATGTACATACAAGACATCCAGCTGTTCAAAATTTTACATTATTTCAACACAAAAAGACTTTCACACAAAAGCAATGAGCAAAACGGTTAGGACATAGGGCAAGGATATGAAATGGCAGCTAGCTTAGTTTTCTCTAAGCAGATGCAGAAATTATGTCCTTCATGGCAGAAATTAGGCTTGCTAACCTAACTATCACTTGCATCAACAGAAGTAAGTCAACCACCCTCAAAACACAAGCTCACTTTCCAAAAATCAATACAATACAAGCCCAAGGAGTTGATGATGTTTTGTAGATCATACTCATGAATTGTACAAAATTTAGGATTGTTAATTTACAACCCAGGTACCCTCAAACCATCAGCTTAATTAAATACAGCAAACGCAGACACAAGAATGCTATTTTTGTGTCACAGAACATGTGAAGCTGGATACCTATACTATGCAAACCCACATAGAAGATCCCTGAATGAAATGAATGAAATGATGAACAGATACAAACAAGAAGAAAATACATCGAAAAGAATTATATCTCTACAGTGCTGCAAAAAACTACAAACCACAAGTGAAGCTGCAGAATTTCCCAATTTGGATAAAGAGCCTTTGCAAGGGGTTTGGATGGTCATCATCTTCTGAAGATGGAGTTGGCAATGGTAGCTCAGGCGGCAAATGACGGTGAAATGCATCAACCGCACCAGCAACGCCGTCTTCATTCTCTATCAACTTTGCTAATTCTATTACTCGAGATTTCACCTGGCAGAGTCAAAGTTTCATCAAGGAAAAAAAAAATTATGCAAAGTAAACAAGTGCTTCTATTTTCAAGCAAAAGAAAGCCTTACAGCTATTTAAACAGACATACCGAACATATTGTTCGCCATATGAAGTTTAGAAATTTAGAACAAGCATAAAAAAGAAAACTTATCATAATTACAACACTCGGATGTAATTAGAAAAGCATACATTGTATAAGAAATCTTTGTTTCTTCTCACTCTACTAAAACAAGGAAAAAAAATGTGCAATAAGCACTCCCTGGCAAACATAGCTTCAAAGCACTCATATAGTTTGCCTTAATATTTACAGAAATTACCAAATCGATAATGTGCACTAATCACTCCCTAGCAACCATAGCTTCAGATTGCCCATTTAGTATGTTTTTGAATTTTCCGTGCTATCCCATGCCAACTGGTGAAAAACTTACCCTTAGTGCATAGGCAGGCTGCCACATAGCATATATGCATCCTGCAGTGTAAGTAGCCTCACCAACTTGAATTTACTAACCCCTGATCTATAATGTCTCGTATTGTGTAGGTCAGGGGTATGACACATTTTGTATCAAGTTTCCATATAGGAAGGACTCCCAATAATATTAGTTGGGCCTTGCAAATGTGTGTGCAGGATTTGTTTTTTTTTTTTTTTTTTTTTTTGGGGGGGGTTCTAAAAGCATGTTCAGTGGATGATTTTCAAACGGAGTCTTGTCATGGAGTTAAAGATTGGTTGCATTATCCTAGAAGCTAAGGCAACATAATTGATTTGATAGCCCTCCTCAGTTGATGCTTGAAAATTACCAAGCACAAGTTCTTGGGTTTCTATGTTCTTTGACATTTTCCTTCAACTTCTTTACAAGTTTTCCAGTCTTTTTTTTTTTTTTTTTTTTTTTTTTTGGGGGGGGGGGGGGGGGGTTGTTTTATGATTTGTTAGCTTTTTTGTTCTAGGCATAGTGGGTAATCATTATTTGAAATGCATTTCTGCTATTCATTTGGTTATAGGATTGTTGCTTCTGTTTTTCATTCGCAGTTANGCTCCAACAAATTTTTGAAGTTGAATGTAGAAAGGAATATGTAGACATTCTCAGTAGCGAATTTTGTTGAGACTACACATAACTTCATATGTGAAGTGGACAACAATGATTGGCCTAATCCATCAAACAAGAATTGCATTTGAGATGACTCTTTTGTAAGTAGGTATACACCCCCACACATGCTTTACTTACCTCTGGTTGGAGCATGAATTTTATAGCATCTGAAAGGGCTTCAACACTGAAGTGAGACATAGGAATTGGAGCTGGTCCCAGTTCCTTTTCATAAATTCTTTCACCCCAAAAAAATTGATCTCCAAAAAATGGCACTATGGTTGTTGGACACTGCATCTCAAAATTAGACAACATATTATAGCTTTAACATATAGAAAAGAAAAGTGATTACCATAAAGCATCGAATCTCAATTTTAAGCACAAATGATAATAGTACAACGAAACTAACAAGAATATTTACCCCAGCCCTTAGTCCTGTAGCTGTGGTTCCAGCACCACCATGATGAACCTACACATATTAAACAAATGAGCAACTCTTAATGGCAAGTAAAACAATCACTGATACACCATTTCCCGTCATAAACACCACACGTGAAGGTGCAACTTCTGTTCTCTTAATGACAATAATGACTATACTTGAGCATAAAATTCTTGGTATTAATGTACAATCCCATTTCAACATCCATATAAACCTAGAACCAAGAATTAACCACTAAAAAACCAAAAAAAATATAGCTCACCAATTCAGAAGTAGCTTTAAGAAAACTTACCACAGCGGAACACTGAGGAAACAACCAATCATGAGGGCAATTCTCTAGAAGGAATACATTGTCAGGAATTTCTGGAACTGCAATATAAATTAGAAACGAGAAAGAATTACCCATAAGAGAGAGTAAAAAATCCACTCAGTAGAGTGAGGTATCCTATTTTCTCTGCAACCAAACATAGCTTTATAAAGTAAAACACCAGCAATAATAAAATTAGAAAACAGGACGGAAAGAAATCACCAAGTAAAGTAGTAGTTTGGACATCAAACATACAATCAGCTACCATGTAATCCCCAAACCCAATCCATACAAAAAATTATAAGAATTGACAGCAAAAGGACACAACCGAGCACGAAATACCCTCTGCCTTCTCTATTAATTCAATATTTTTGTTTGCATCCACATGCAATGGAAATGCAGCACTCCTGCATCTAAGCGGAAGAATAGGCCCCAGATTGAAGACAAGGAAGGTGTGCATGGTGAATGGAAGACGTTTTGTGTGGGTTCGAAGAATCTGAGATATCTTATAGAGAGAGAAAGAAGTAGAGATATGAATCGGACCCTAGCTGTAACTCAGATTCTGGAGTGGGAAAGAAGTGAAGAGATGAATTGGAAAAAAAGGGCGTCATTTTGTTGTGAGAGAGAGAGAGGGAAAGGGTGTTGCGCTAAACCTGAACACAGATGGGTCTCGAAAACCCGAGTACTGCCCAAATAAAAACGGGTTGAATTTATTTTTTTACTCACTCCTAACTTAGAATACTGAAAATCTCTATCCAACTATTGAATTTTTTGGGTTGGATTCAGATTGACCCACTGAACTAAAACCCTACAGGGAGCTAGTCAATCCAACACTGAAGTCGGAGAAAGAATTCGGTAAAAGTAGTCGGAGAAAGAATTCGGTCAAAGTAGTCGGAGTTCGCTTGCCGAATAAGTAAGTTGAACAAAGCCATTACAGGAGGTTTGAAAATATCACCGAGGAAGAAACAAATTGGTGAGAGACAACTTGAAGAATCGTATAAAAGTCTTGTGGGGCTAACTACCAGTGATCATGACTGGTCAAGTGCATATGCATGCTCAGGTGTCAGCCAATTTGAAGTGTTTTTTTTTCATTTTTCCTTGAGTGAAACTGGACAGAACATAGGTAACATGAATTAATTCGCGTGAAACGACATCAGGACAATAAAGGTGAACATCTATAAGGGAGGAAAAACAACACTCATGTCTGGCAGAACACATGAAACAAAGAGCTCATCAATGAACAAGTAAAATGCAGTTCCATACAGAGTATAACCTAGGAAGCATGGAGGATATACGATACGGGTACAATACGGATATGGCGACACAACAAAACCTAAAAAAAATAGGATACGAGTACGGTTAAGATACATCTATAGTCAAAAATATTTTATATGTTACTATTATTTAATAGCTTAGAAATTACAATTTTTAATAATTATTTAACAATAGTAAACTAAATTAACAATTTTTACCATGAAAAAAGTGTAATATCATCTCATTATGATATATTCATAAAGTGAACGTGACTAATTAAAAGAATCAGAACTAACATTTAACTAGTTGGTTTGTTTACAAGTATGATATATTNGTCCAATCTATATTCTATTGTTATATACATATAGTTACAAGATTGGGTTCTACAATCAAATATATGTTACAAATGATTTTTTTGGTATGCAACAACGTAACAATATTTTAATAAGAACACTTTATCCGATNGTGGGATCTTCAAGAGGCTTAACAAGCAACAAGTAACAATATCAGCAAATTAAACACGTTACCCATCAGAAATGTAAATAATGACACCCCCAATAAAAAAATACAAAGAAAAGTAACCAAAAACAAGGAGAATGTAACTCATAAAAATATAAACACATCATCATACCATGCTTCCAAAGCCAAAATATATGGGTTTGAGTCCTTTTTGGATCCAACGTACGAACTCTTGAGTAGGTTGATACTTTGACCCAAGATTTAGGAAACAATAACCAACAACATCAACTAGGGGGCCCCAATCTGCACATGGATCAAATAGATATCAATCCATGTAAGTTTGCGATGCATGAAGTATTAATATTTCTAAAATATTTGCCCATGGTAAGAAGCTTTGAACATGAACAAAAACAGCATATGTGACATTTACAAGGTTGTCCAAACGTGTATTGCAATGCATATTGTTTTCGAAAAATAATGTATCATGTCTCGTTAAGATATATTCAATTTTTTAAAACACATATAAATGACCATATCTATACTAATAAAAAAAATTCAATTTCTTATTTTATTCTTAATTATTATCATAAAGTCAATTATATCCTCATATTTACTTTGATCTAATTTTTGTTTTTTATACCTATTTGAGTTTCAAGTTCTGTTGGACTCTTTTAAAAGTAGCATATGACTTCTATGTTCTTTTGGGTTCTTTTATAAGTAGTATTGACTTCCATTTTTCTTTTTTAAACTCATTTATAAGTAAGACAGTTATATACAATTTCTATATTCGTGTCTATATCTGTATGAAAAAACAAAGTCCAATCTATATTCTATTGTTATATACATATAGTTACAAGATTGGGTTCTACAATCAAATATATGTTATAAATGATTTTTTTGGTATGCAACAACGTAACAATATTTTAATAAGAACACTTTATCCGATATGCAAACACTCAAGAAGAACAATTTTACAATGAAGCTCCATTATAAGCAAAAGAGAAAATGTCTATAGAGGACTAGAAAGATTTCTTAATAAATGACAGATTAGGTAGNCTTTTTTAAACTCATTTATAAGTAAGACAGTTATATACAATTTCTATATTCGTGTCTATATCTGTATGAAAAAACAAAGTNTTGGGATCTTCAAGAGGCTTAACAAGCAACAAGTAACAATATCAGCAAATTAAACACGTTACCCATCATAAATGTAAATAATGACACCCCCAATAAAAAAATACAAAGAAAAGTAACCAAAACCAAGGAGAATGTAACTCATAAAAATATAAACACATCATCATACCATGCTTCCAAAGCCAAAATATATGGGTTTGAGTCCTTTTTGGATCCAACGTACGAACTCTTGAGTAGGTTGATACTTTGACCCAAGATTTAGGAAACAATAACCAACAACATCAACTAGGGGGCCCCAATCTGCACATGGATCAAATAGATATCAATCCATGTAAGTTTGCGATGCATGAAGTATTAATATTTCTAAAATATTTGCCCATGGTAAGAAGCTTTGAACATGAACAAAAACAGCATATGTGACATTTACAAGGTTGTCCAAATGTGTATTGCAATGCATATTGTTTTCGAAAAATAATGTATCATGTCTCGTTAAGATATATTCAATTTTTTAAAACACATTTAAATGACCATATCTATACTAATAAAAAAAATTCAATTTCTTATTTTATTCTTAATTATTATCATAAAGTCAATTATATCCTCATATTTACTTTGATCTAATTTTTGTTTTTTATACCTATTTGAGTTTCAAGTTCTGTTGGACTCTTTTAAAAGTAGCATATGACTTCTATGTTCTTTTGGGTTCTTTTATAAGTAGTATTGACTTCCATTTTTCTTTTTTAAACTCATTTATAAGTAAGACAGTTATATACAATTTCTATATTCGTGTCTATATCTGTATGAAAAAACAAAGTCCAATCTATATTCTATTGTTATATACATATAGTTACAAGATTGGGTTCTACAATCAAATATATGTTATAAATGATTTTTTGGTATGCAACAATGTAACAATATTTTAATAAGAACACTTTATCCGATATGCAAACACTCAAGAAGAACAANGCCAAAATATATGGGTTTGAGTCCTTTTTGGATCCAACGTACGAACTCTTGAGTAGGTTGATACTTTGACCCAAGATTTAGGAAACAATAACCAACAACATCAACTAGGGGGCCCCAATCTGCACATGGATCAAATAGATATCAATCCATGTAAGTTTGCGATGCATGAAGTATTAATATTTCTAAAATATTTGCCCATGGTAAGAAGCTTTGAACATGAACAAAAACAGCATATGTGACATTTACAAGGTTGTCCAAACGTGTATTGCAATGCATATTGTTTTCGAAAAATAATGTATCATGTCTCGTTAAGATATATTCAATTTTTTAAAACACATATAAATGACCATATCTATACTAATAAAAAAAATTCAATTTCTTATTTTATTCTTAATTATTATCATAAAGTCAATTATATCCTCATATTTACTTTGATCTAATTTTTGTTTTTTATACCTATTTGAGTTTCAAGTTCTGTTGGACTCTTTTAAAAGTAGCATATGACTTCTATGTTCTTTTGGGTTCTTTTATAAGTAGTATTGACTTCCATTTTTTTTTTTTTAAACTCATTTATAAGCAAGACAGTTATATACAATTTCTATATTCGTGTCTATATCTGTATGAAAAAACAAAGTCCAATCTATATTCTATTGTTATATACATATAGTTACAAGATTGGGTTCTACAATCAAATATATGTTATAAATGATTTTTTTGGTATGCAACAACGTAACAATATTTTAATAAGAACACTTTATCCGATATGCAAACACTCAAGAAGAACAATTTTACAATGAAGCTCCATTATAAGCAAAAGAGAAAATGTCTATAGAGGACTAGAAAGATTTCTTAATAAATGACAGATTAGGTAGTCAAAGGGCTTAGAATAGATCAACATTTAAGTTTGGCAGAATTAAAATAATGAATAATTCTACAATAGCTAATTTATAATTTAATTTGAATTACTCATATAATTCATATTTTCATATATTTAACATAAAAATAATTATTTAAAATTGTTTACATACAACGTATATGAAGCATTGCTAGTCTAGATAAATATAAAAATACATAATGTCCAAAATAATATAAATACGGTTTCATCTCTCATCATCTCATAAGATGCATATTTGCGATAGAGATTGAAAGAGACAACCATACATTGTGGAAGGCCTAAAGTCAAGATCCAGAGGTTGATCAAGAGCCAAAAAATATGAAACAGATTCATTAAAGGTGACATCAGCACTAATGAAGTATCGACGAAGGGTGGTACTATAACGTTGTCCCTTCGGTGTGCGAGAATATCTAAGGAAGACACATTTTGTAGGNCGTGTATTGCAATGCATATTGTTTTCGAAAAATAATGTATCATGTCTCGTTAAGATATATTCAATTTTTTAAAACACATATAAATGACCATATCTATACTAATAAAAAAAATTCAATTTCTTATTTTATTCTTAATTATTATCATAAAGTCAATTATATCCNTGTGTATTGCAATGCATATTGTTTTCGAAAAATAATGTATCATGTCTCGTTAAGATATATTCAATTTTTTAAAACACATTTAAATGACCATATCTATACTAATAAAAAAAATTCAATTTCTTATTTTATTCTTAATTATTATCATAAAGTCAATTATATCCTCATATTTACTTTGATCTAATTTTTGTTTTTTATACCTATTTGAGTTTCAAGTTCTGTTGGACTCTTTTAAAAGTAGCATATGACTTCTATGTTCTTTTGGGTTCTTTTATAAGTAGTATTGACTTCCATTTTTNTTTCATAAAAAATAACCAAGTCACACAAGAATAATCATCCACAAATGACACAAAATAAAAAAATTTAT